GATAATTTTTAATCGATATATATCGATTAACTGCTATATATCGATATATATCTGCTTAAAAATTTTGCTGATGATAAGAAAACAATACAAACCCAATGATATAATGGAATACATTTGCAACTGCTCAATCTCTATAAATCATGTAAAAAATCTTTTTCATATTTACAAATAGAGGGTAAACATCAAAAAAGATCAAAAGGATAAGTTAAAACTATCAAAAAAGATATATGATAGAACAAGCGGCGTTTACTGGAAAAATCCATTAAAAAAATGTTGTCGATCTTTTAGAATATCACCCAAAATCATTTATCACTGATCTATTTGTTGATAAAATCATTTATTATTTTAATTATCTTTAATAGGATATTAAGTAGTTTAAAACTGCCTAGCCAAACTACTTAACAAAGACTCTAAAAAGCTTAAAGTGGACACTACTATTAGCAACCTTAGATATAATTATAGTAATAAATCAGATAGTATTCTACCTCTAATCATCAGCTCTCTCTCTTTAACAAACTTTTAAATGCCAGAAGCTATCTTCTAATTCTGCTATCCGTATTTATACAAAATATGAAAATTTTGTCATTCTCTTGAGTGTACCAGCTTCTATATCCCCAGTGTAATTAAGTTTATTAATAAATTCTTCAAGTTTTTCACAATAATTTAGTAAATTATCCAATAGTGGCAAATAATAACCTTTATTTTCAAAACACTGGTTCAAAATACTTGATGATACTATTAAACGAATAAGGGTTCCAATCCCTATGTATAAGAATATTTTGTTCAAAGAATTTAAATGATTACATACTATTACTAGTAATAAACAAAAGAAATATTGATTATGTTCAGAATATTTAACAAGAAATGAAGCTTTAGCATCGGTGGATACTGAAATAAGTCATATGATTAGTCAATTAAGCATCTATATTTTGCCTTTTTATTTTATCAAAGGATTCACAGCTAATGAACATTCAATCAAAAGCATAAAGACAAATCAAACTTTTGAATAAAAATTTACAATAGAATTAGCAAATAAGAAATGGTATTTTCTTCATGTTTTATTTATAATATATGAATAATTTGTATAAATAGAAAACAAACCTAATCATAAAAATTTTAAACTGCATCTTTAAAAGCTCTCTTCTACTTCTTTTAAGTTTTATTGTATAGTTATTTTTTCGAGAAGTTTCACTTTTTGATAACATGAATTTATGACATTATTTTATCTATAAATAAACTTTTTTCCCAAAGAAAAGCCTGTATTACGAATTAATCATATCATGGCTGATGCTGGAATTTGGGTCAATTATCTTAGACCTCTTTCAAAAAAAAAAAAAGCAAACACTATTTATTTCTTGTAGATTCTTTAATGAGTTCGGGTTTATTAATTAAAAATATCATATCCCATGTCTCGTCGACAAACAAGAAAGATTAATAGTAAAACAGTTCGAAAAATGATGAGTTGAGCACATGCTAGGTTTAGGAAGTAATTAATATCTAAAATGGAGGAATTTAGCAAAGTTGTAATAAAATCTGTTTTAGAAGCACAGACAAGTAAAACATGTAGCAGATGTGGTTATATTTTACCCTTATTTACTTATTTATTTGTACCGGTATGTAAATATGTGCGTATGTGTATGTAATAATGAAAAATTTTATTTACTTTATCTTTTGATATTTGTTTATATTTCTCATTGATTTTATTCAAAGCTTGTAATATAATCGTAAAAAATAAAATTTCTCAGTTGAATCGAATAGTTGTTTGTAATTTTTTTCATAATTTTCGGGTTCAAACTCTTGTATATATTCATTTATTGAATTTTTGGGATTTAATTTTATACTAAAATACACTGATCAAGGTTTTGTTTTTGAAAGTATGTTCACATATTTCTTAAATCCTTTCAATATTTACTCGTTCAAGTACTTTGACAGTATGCATTTGTCTTTAGAAAAATAAATAAAATAGATTAGTGTTGTGAACCTTTTAAAATAACTTGTATTAAGTTTAATACATTATAAAAATTAACAACACATTTTGCTTGGATCATATCTTTTGTTGCTTTTGTTTAATTATATTTACTGTATTTTATTTGGCAATTTTACAAGCAACAATGTCCATGATTTCATTTGTGGTGACGAAGATAAAAAAAAAGCAATAGAGTTATTTAAACAAGCAGCTGACAAAGATGTTCCTGGTGTTTAATTACGCTATATATTTTTATTTATAAGAAAAGATGAAGATATTTAAAGTTAGCAGCTAAAAAAGGATATGATAGATTGCATTGCAAACTATTTATTGTCGCAGCTGAAGCTTGAAATCAGGGACTTTAATTTAAAAATATAAATCCTACCAAAATCTATTTATACTCTTTTATTATCAAAACTGACTCTAAACCCTAATTTAACTAACAGTATTAAAAAAAATGCTAAAAAAATGCACCCTAAAAATTTTTGAAAATTTCAAGCTTCAATCGCGACATTTATTTATTAAATATCAGATCATAAATGAATTTTGACTTGAATTATTCAATTAATTTTAATTAATTAATTTTAATTAATATTTACAACTTTACAGTTATTTCGATTATTGATATTTTATAGGTGATACAATGGTTATTGCACGTGAATTTTGAAGTATGCTAGTATATGATGAGCCGTGTATAGTAGTAGATGATTTGTGTATTTTGATAGTTTTAAGAATTTCATCCACAATTCCATCCTGATAAAAAATAAGTAGAGTAAAGGCCAAATTGTTATAAGTTAAAGCATTCTTTATTTTATATATTACTCTAAGATATGCCCAAAGTTTTTTAATCAGATTATGAATATGGTCTTGGAAACCTTTACTTTTTCGATATAGAACTGCTAGAGAACACCATAAATTTACAACATATACCAGGGGAAAAGGCTTATTTAAAACGTATATATCCAGAGTAGTTCCTAATCAATATTGGTACATTTCATGAGCTTGTAATTTGAACTTTAAAAATTTTGTGAAAAAATATTCCTACCATGTGTGTGTACTCCAAAAACTTGCATGGTTTGAATGATGTTATATATCTCTTTGTTAATTATCTCACCGCAAAATTTAAGAATTCTTGAAATACAAAGATCAAGAATATCTTTTATGCATCAGAAAAGCTTGCATTTATTCTTATAACACTTATCAAGAAGAGGCTCAAAAGGTTTTCCAGAAAATTCTCCCACAATTACCTCCCATTTTTCTTTTTTCCAATAATCTTGCCACGTAACGTTAAAATCAACTTTATGGCCTGGCTTTTCTTCCTGCATTTAAATGAATTTATTAATAATCACGTTCTATAAATTAAATTTGATTATTACTCACATCAGTTCTTTTAACAGCATTCATACGTGCTTTGGAAGCAATTAAATGATGTTCAGTCCTAAAATTAATCTTTAAAGTTAGGTAATATATTATTATAATTGTTGAATTTTTATTTTATTTTATTTTTGATATACATACCAAGAAATTTTTATATTAGGAACAGAATCTAATAATGGTTCAAGAAAAATTGATAATACTTTAACTGTTCATGTGTTTTCATTAATAGATGTGTCAAAAGGCTAGATTATTTTATAATTAAGAATTCGAAAACTATTTAAACATAATTGTTAGTAAAGTAAATATGTAAAAATCACTTTATAAATAATATACAATCCTCTAATAATGTGTTTAATATATAGCATTAATCCTGTTATTTTTTTGAAAGCTCTTTTACTTTTGTCAGAGATATCATCAATACTGGTATTGATAGTGGAAGTATTTGAATTTCTGATATTAGTGTTAATACTGGTGCTCGTGATGATATTATCAGTATTGTCAGTATTGTCGGTATTATCAGTATTGTCAGTATTGTCAGTATTATCAGTATTGTCGGTATTGTCGGTATTATCAGTATTGGTATTGATAGTTTCAACCACCGAAGTAGCAATTGTCAAAGCCTCAAGCATAGTATTGAAATTAATACATTCTATTGGTTGTATGATCTCATTGTCGATTAAAAAATGAATTTGTTTAACTTGTGAAGGTGTTAATATAAACGAAGGAATCTTCTGTGTTTCATTCAGGAAATTAATATCTTCTATAGAGAAGATTGTTTTGATGTCATTATCATTTGTATTGATAATATTAAAAAAATTTCATGATTATAATAAGAATCTTTTTCCTGAATTTGAATGATTGCTTCTTGCAGAGAAGCTTCTATAGCTACAACATAGAAATAATCTGCTAGTATTCGTAGACATCTTTGTTATAAACCCAAATAAAGGACCGTCTAATTTTTTATTATGTTAATTTCGAATCTAAAGTTACTTTTCCTTCTTGATTTGGCCAACCGTTTACTTAGTACAAAATCCAGTTCCGATACATTTTTTAAATCTTACTATAAATAAGTATCCCTTACTATGGGTGCTCGCATTATTAGAATAAATTGAAATTATCAAAAATAGTACAAAAAATAAGAAGTTTTATCATTTCTTATAAATATTTTACTGTAAAAACAAAAAGACTTGAATACAAATTAATTAATAAATAATATTTATTATCACAATTTTATTATTTATAATAAATTAATTTTATTAATCTGAAATACTTCATATTCTTTTACTGAAAAATATGAATATACATTGTTATCCTTCCAGATACCATTACTTTCTGTGTAAGTTGAGACATCTCTAATTTTTTTATCATATGAATTAGATCTACAACAACAAGAATAATCATGAGTGAAATCGTTTTTCATGCAACACGTATTACTACCTAGCATGCCAAGATCATCACCACCACCAAAACATGGATCTTGTATATGACAATTAAAAATAGCCATTTCTGTTTTCTTTACATGACTTAAAATAGAACTTTGTATAATACCATTTTTCAAAGAAAAAATAAAGCTTTTATCGCAACTTATGTGTTCATTCTTCTTTGATCTGTCCCATGCAATAGGGTTGTACCCACCAAGAATTTCATCAGTACCTTTAACTTTCATAATCACAACAGCTCTTTTACACCCATTACATAAATTCCAAAATGTTTCTGGTGTAAATCCATCCTTGCTTCCACAAAGAAGCAATCTAAACTCATAAAAATCTTTTTTTGCAGAAGATGCGTCAACTTGTTCATTAATCCATGAAGTGATTTCAGAAGCATGTTCTTTATTAATAATTGTTGATGATATTTGTTTCGTAAATATGATCTGCATCTTAATATAGACTGAATAGTGACTGAATGTGCTTTAAATTCTTATAAATTTCAAGTATTCTAAATAATTTATTTGAAAGTTTTTCATTAATGTTGTCTTAACAAATGATTAAAATAGAAAGATTGGATATTAGCTGGGGGCACCATTTCATAAGAGAGGAATAAGTATGTGCGAATTCAGGTTTTAAATTTATATATGGACTGTATATTTTGAGGGTGAATAATGTCGTAATGCATAGAATCATGTGTTACAATAATGTATTTGAGTGCCACAAACTGAACCAGTGTTTTTTTTTTTTTTTTTTGGTGTTAAGGTGGCCTCTTGGCTGGCTCCTTTTATTCGGTTATAGTTAACTTTACAATA